AATAGGTTGCTTCCATATCTTGGTTATTGTAGCTGATGCTGCAGCAAACATAGGGGTGCATATATCTTTTCGAATTAGTGTTTTGGATTTCTTCAGAGGGCACACCCACTGGGCTGCAGGCAACTGGGGTCACTGAGAGAGAACATCAGGCTCCTGCAACTCTCCAGCTTACATCAAGGAACAAGGCTCTGTTTGCATCTTTAACACCTCCCTGCACTTGTAAAAATCTCTGCATTTGACAGAAAGCAGGCCTAGGCTTGCACATGGTGGGGAGGGATGGACCTGGGGGGGCGGGGGAGGACATCAGCTCCCTGGTCACTTCTAGGACACTGATTTATTTCTCTTGTGCTTATTTTTATGACCAAAAAAGCAATAGTAACTTTCTACTTAAGGCAATGATATAAATTCTTTTAAGATATATTTATTTAGCTTAAAAAATGAGCCAACTTAAAGGAAAATACTAAAAATATAGATGGTTCTCTGGATAAGGAGTAACTTGTGTAGGAGGCTCTTGAAGGTTGATGTGTGGACAACACTGACCTACTGGGTAGAGCAGGGGCTATATCTGCCAAATGAGGAAGATGAATAGCCCTGCTCATAGCCTTTTTGTAAAGATCAAATGTGATGATGACTCTGGGCATATAGTCAGTCTGTACACTACAATGGAATTACAATTGTTAGAAGGACTGGCTACATAATTTTTGGGGTCCAGTGCAAAATGAGAATGTGGGGCCTTTTGTTAAAAAATCATTAAGAATTTCAAGACTGTGGGCCGGCCGAGTGGCGCNTGTGTGTGACAGCCCCAGGACATTAAGCTTTTAGGATAATGCTGCTGGGGGTGCTGAGGGACGGCAGGAGCAGAGGCCAGTACTAGGAGACCCCTAGGTGTTATCTAGCCCACCTCTCTCATTTTGCAGATGAGGAAACTGAGGTCCAGAGTGCTTCCTCCATGTGGTCCATGATGTGTTTTACTTTGTGATTGAAAATGTGGGATGGGCTGGGTTGGCAGAAAGCTTGGACGGAAGCAGAAAGAGGCCAAAACCCTGCCCTCTCCCCCACAAGCTGTATCACTCTGGCTAAGAAATCACGTCTTGCCTCTGAGTCTCAGTTCCTTAACTTTAAAGTACTAGGTCATCAGGAACACTGTGGTTTCAAGAACACTGTATGGCTGTGCTTTCTATAAACCCCCAACTGAGAGCCCAGATTTAGAAGGTGCTGGATAATAAAACCAAGAGCATTCTACTAATAAGACAGCATAGCTGACACTGTTTTGAACATTTCACATATTTTAATTCATCATGGGTTGTTTGACAACTAGAGCCTCTGTTTATTGGGGCCCTCTGGGTGTCAGGCGGCATGCTAAGCCCTTCCAAGCATCATCTCATCGAGTCTCCCGCTTTACAGAGCAGGAGCTGAGATGCAGGGGGGCTCCGCTCCTCACCACAGTAAGCAGGAGGGGGAGGCGGGAACCAGGAAGCCTGCCCACACCACGGAGCTCACAGTCCTGGGCCAATGTGGGCTGTGAGCATGTACAAGAATCCCCAGAGAGTTGGTGAATACATTCAGATTCCAAGGCTCTGATCCAGGAGGCCTGGGTGGGACCTGAGAAGGTGACCTTTTAACCAGCCCCCTCCCATATCCCACCGCGAATGCTGACGCAGAGGGTCTGCCAACCACATTTTCAGGAACAATGCACTGGCTGTGCTTTCTACAAGCCCCCAACCGAAAGCCCAGATTTCGAAGGTGCTGGCTAATAATATGAAGAGCATTCTAACAATAACAGAGCAGAGCTGACACATAGCCCACTGTGTGCCAGGCACTGTTTTGAACACTTGACATATTTTAATTCATTTAATTCTTACTATGAGCCTCTGAGATAGTGACTACTATTGTCCCCAGCTTACAGAAGGGGAAATGAGTTACAGAAAGAGTCGATAACTTGCCCAAGGCCCTATATTCGGTGACAACTGGTTAGCTGACTTAGTTGTAATGGTCCTTATTTTTTATCTTGCCCCTGCACCCACCTGTGCCCACACTCCCCTGGTGGATGAGGCGGGGGCGGTCAGGGAACCTGCACGCAGGGAGATAGAGAGGAGTGTGTATAAGGCCAGGGAGCTGAGAGATCGGGCAGCCCCCGGTTCCGTTCCAGAGATGGAGAGATCAGGCACTGACTTTACCCTGAGCCACAGCCAGGTTTCTAGATGCAAATCTTGGCTGTGAGCTCAGGGAGAGAGGCCGGTGGGCAGTGCCCGGCTGAGGCTCCAGGGAACCAGTGGGTGGGTGGGTGAGGACTCCCATCTTAATCCAGTCTCCCTTCCCAAGTCCAGGCCCCATCAGGACCCGCGGGGGATCCTACCTTTTTTCCCTGGACTGCTCCCATGGCATGAAGTGGGCACCAGGCCTGGGTGGGCCTCGGGGGCCAGGCTGGGGGTCCTCCCTGCTGGTGCTGATTTCAGGAGCTGGGGCCCGAGGGGCTCCCTGGGCCAGGGCCCCAGGTCCTCTCTCGACTCATTTTCCTCAGGCACAAAGGCGACTTTCACAGCTGCTAAGCCTGTAGCTCCTCAGACAGGCTTAGGGTGATTGATCCTGACAGAGGGGCCCTGTGTCCCCAGGTGGTTTACATGCCCTCTTGGGGTTTCTGTGGCTCACCTCCCGGACCCCTGCCTCTCTTGAGAAGGGAAACTGAGGCAGCCGGGGTTGGGGAGAAGCAAGGCAGTCCTCTCACTGTGCGGCCGGCAGCCCGGGCACAGCGTGTGACATCTGGCCGGCTCAGCGGGCAGGACTTGGCCTTCTTGCCAGGCTGGGCACTGCTCAACAGACGGGTCCCAGACAGTGGAGGCTGCGTGGGGCGGCCAGGGCACAGGGCCGGGGCAGGCTTGCGTGGGGATGTATGCCTCAGGCTGGACAGCCCCATTAATAAGAGATTTTTGAAGAAACTTGTGGCCAGGGCTCCCCCAGAGAAGAATACTTCATTTAATGGGGCAGCAGTCCAGGCGGGAAAGGCGAGAGGGCGGCTGGTCTGGGCTCAGGCCAGGAAAATATCTGGAGGCCAGATTCCGGGCTCTGGCCAAGTCCTCACAGTACCCCCTGGCAGTCCCCTCCTCCTTATTTGCCACCCCTTTCCTTCTCTTTGTCACAAACATGGGGCAAGATTAAGGCTGGAATCACCTTGGATTTTAGTTGTAGCTGTTTTTCGCAGCTGTTGTTATAGAACAGAAAGAAGTTTTCCACCCTGCGATAGTGGAGTCAAACACTAAACACTGAGAATTGCAGTGGACAAATATTGGCTATTTTATTGATGAATGGCGCCATACAGGAGACCGAGAAGCTCATGCTCAAAAGCCTAAACTCCCCAATGGTGTGTAGGTTACAGATTGTATGGAGCAAAATCACAAGACACAGTGGGTTAGGGGTTTGGGGCTGTGCTGGGAGCTGATTGGTCAGAGGTGAGGTAGGGGTAATGAATCATGTCTTCAGGTCTGATGGACNCAAAAAAATGTACACACATTTAAGAAAGGAAAAAACTGTATTAAAATTACGCTGATTGTAACCCCTTTGAGCACCTCTTGTAATTGCAGAAGTCAAACATGACTTGTATTCATCTGTTGTTATCGGTATATATCGAGTATTACAATTTAAATACAGTTTTTTCCTTTTTTAAAATGTGTATACATTGTTTTGGCATCCTCTTGTATAGGTCCTTGCAAAATGGTCAAGGCCGCTTCCTGCTGGGGGTTAGCCAGTCAGGTCACCCTGATCTCTGGGGTGGATGACAGCTAGGTGGCCCTCCCCACACTGCCCTTTGTGTCCTTCCCATGCCACCACCACAGTCCTTGTCCATTCATCCCTGGCACTGTTCCCCTCCCCGCCGCCAGGGATGGGGAGGCCACCAGGAACCCACCTGCTCAAAGGGGCTATTATTCTTGATGCCTCTGGCCCCTAAGAAGACCCAGCTGTCCCGGAAGCCCAGTTGGTTTGCGTGGGAGCTGCCCATCTGGGAGAAGAGCTTCCTGATTTCATCATTCATTCTGCAGAGGACCAGAGAGGGCGGTCAGGCAGCAGGATGGGAGCAGAGGGAGCTTCCCAAGCACTCTGCCCCCCTTGCCATGTGCAGAAGCCGCCAAGGTGACCTCAGGAAGAACAGGGCCGAGGGGCCAGGACTCCTGTCCGAAGGCCCCTCAGAGGGAGCTGGAGAGGTATTAGAATGGCTTGGCCTCTGTTTACAAATGTAATACTTGTTCAGTTGGAAAATATGCAACATCATAAATTAATTAAAAATTACTTACAGTCTCACCCCCCTGACAGAATTATTGTAAAATTTTAAAATATTTCCTTCATATCTTTCTTTCTCCATGTACTGTGGGATCATACCAACTCTTTGTTTGGTAACCTGCTTTTTTTTTTTTTTTCTTTTCACTTAATACTAAAGAAAGAGCATTCTTCCATGCCCTTAAATAATTTCTACATCATCATTTTTGATGCAGTGTGTCTTCTTTTAGGTATGTATAAGAATATGTCATCTATCACCATCTGTCATAAGTTCTGTAACTAGTCAGCTGTATTGGACAGGGAGAGTGTGTCTGTTTTTTCACTGTTATAATCAAGTCTGTGATGAACCTTCTAGAACAGCGGTTCTCAACCTTCCTAATGCCGCGGCCCATTAATACAGTTCCTCATGTTGTGGTGACTCCCAACCATAAAATTATTTTCGTTGCTACTCTATAACTGTAATTTTGCTACTGTTATGAATCATAATGTAAATATCTNAGTGGATTGGGGGAGGGGGGTTGTCACTTCGAGGGGTGAGGAGTATAACTATTGCACTGTGTTGTACAGCTGAAACTAATTCTAAAAAAGGTGTATTTCACAATAAAAAATAATAAGAAAAACAAAAACAAAACAAAACAACAACAAAATAATAGTGATGGTAAATCCACTGCCCATTGGCAAGTCCTGGGTAGCCAGTCCATTAAGCATAACACCTTTCCCAAGAACTGGGTGGGGTGGGGGGTGAAGGGAGGGGGGAACTTGCCACACTTCCCTTTCTATCTTGGGCTGCCACCTGCTGGCGACGATCAGAATTACAGCTGCTGGAAAGACCCTGTGGCTGAGGGAACAGGTAGGCATTAATAATACTCTCTCTCTTTTCCCCATCCTGGCTCCCTGGGAGAAAGGAGAAGCATGGTGATGGGGAGGGAGTAGGGAAATACAAGCCCCAAATTCTGAGGCTATGAGGAGCTTGCAAAGATTCCTGAATGTCTGTCCACCCAGATGATGAGAAAATCAGTCCCCAAGTATTGTCTATTTACTTCCTGAATATCCCTGGGACTGGTCCCCCTTTCCCTATCCCCATGGCATGGCCTGGTCCTGGCCACCACTCACTCCCCATGGATGATACAACAGCCTCCTCACTGGCCTCCCTGCCTCCACCCCTTTCTCCAGACAGCAGCCAGGAGGAATTTTTAAAAACCTGCAAATCTCTCAGTGTGTCCCCCATGGCCCCTGGACGAAGTCCCAGCCCCTTTGCCCCGCTCACAAGGCCTTTCAGGCTCTTGCCCCTGGGGCCTCAGCCCTGACCACCTGCCCTCTGCCGCCTCCAGGTATCTCCAGCATCCCGGCCTTGTTCACCCTGTGCTTCCTTGACTGGCACACCCCTCATTTCTCTCTCTGCCTGTCTAACGCCTACACATTCTTAAGGCTGAGCGTGGACACTGCTTCCTTCAGGATGCCTTCCCTGATCCTGCAGCCCTTCTCCTAACTTAGCCCTTATCAAGCCATATATCTTCTTGATCTGTGTCCCCCCTAGACCACGAGCAGGGACTGTGCCTGGTTTCCATCACCACAGCATCACCACTGCCTACCCAGTTCCAGACACATAACAGGTAGGTAAGTAGTAACTGTTGAGCAAGGAAACTGTCTCTTAATGGGTAGTAGGCTCAGTCATAAAGACTCACCCCTCTACAGTCATTGTTTTGGACTCTCTGTCCTGCCCCAACCCTGAGCTCACC